GGTTCATGGAGTCGCCACCAATGTTTTACTCAAAACATTGGAAAAAGAAAAGATTTTTAAAAATCCAATAATGGCCTTGATAACCAGAATTGGGTTCGGGGTCGGTTACGTGTAGGGAAGGTATTAAGCACCCCTACAACGCCCTAAATCGGTACCCTATGATGAAAATAACGTAATAAGAATTAATAGTTTAAATATTTAATCCCCTTTATTAATGATTATTTACTTGAAAATTAAATTACACGATGAACCTCTAAGATATCTACATAATTGCGTTTATTATAATAATATGTAAAATAAAACAAGAGATTGATGAGTAATACCTCGTAACAAGCTTTATTGGATCTTCAACTATGGAGATTTTAGGTGCTTTGTGGCAACCTTTCACACTACAATTGCCTCATAATACTCAAGAAATACAACAGGAGAGAGAGAAAAAAAAAAGGGAGAAATTTCGAGCTCTAAGGAGTGCTAGACGAAATTTTGATCAAGCCTGTCCCCAAGGGTGGGGCTGTGGTAGATCTCGAATCCGGAGAGAAGGGTTTTGGTTTTTTCCCAATGGTGCTCGTGCAGATCCCTATGTGCAATGAGAAAGAGGTAATAACTTATAACTGATAACTAGTCTTATTTTTTAGTTTAATTTGTTCCGATCTAATTTACGTTTTTGGTTTTTTAGGTTTACCAGCAGTCAATTGCTGCGGTGTGCAATTTGGATTGGCCCAAAGGGAAGTTGTTGATTCAGGTTTTGGATGACTCGGATGACCCAACCACGCAGTTGTTGATAAAGGAGGAGGTTCAGAAATGGCAACAAGAGGGTGCCAACATTTTGTACCGCCATCGCGTCATAAGAGATGGTTACAAAGCTGGGAATTTGAAATCCGCCATGAATTGTAGCTACGTCAGAGACTACGAGTTTGTTGCAATTTTTGATGCAGATTTTCAGCCTACGCCGGATTTCCTCAAGAAAACTGTTCCTCATTTTAAGGTGGGTGTCATTAATGATTCGCCGTCCAATGTCGTTTGTAATTTATTATGAGTTATCATAACAAACCACAAAGCTAAGGTTTTCCTTTTCTGTGATTGTCCTGTCGCTAGAACAACAATGCCATGGTAAAAGTGGTTGTTTGTTTGTTTGACTTGTGATCGGTGATGCTCACGGCTAATGAGGAACTGGGCCTCGTTAAGCAGAGGTGGTCTTTTGTGAACAAGGATGAGAACCTGTTAACGAGGTTGCAGAACATTAACCTGGCTTTTCATTTTGAAGTGGAGCAGCAAGTGAATGGGATTTTTATTAACTTCTTTGGGTTCAATGGAACCGCGGGAGTGTGGAGGATAAAGGCTTTGGAGAATGCTGGTGGTTGGCTGGAGAGGACTACTGTTGAGGACATGGACATTGCCGTTCGAGCTCATCTTCATGGCTGGAAATTCATTTTCCTCAATGATGTTGAGGTTTGCCAACTGCCAATTCATTCACATTGTTTCATATAAGTTAGCCTTGGTTTGTTTTTGCTAATAACTCATTCTCAAGACTCATATCAAGTTGCTACTTGTTGATGTTTGTAGTGCCAATGTGAGCTACCGGAATCCTACGAAGCTTACAGGAAACAACAGCATAGATGGCATTCCGGGCCAATGCAATTATTCCGCCTTTGTTTGCCTGATATAATACGGGCCAAGGTATGTATATGTGTATATATATCTCAATTCTCAAGAGTCAAGACCCTTTCTTTTTGTCCGTGATAATACATTATACATGGACATATATCTTTGTGTTGTTTTGATTCTTATGTTATTGGTGTTGATTATGTTTTTGCAGATAAGTGTGTGGAAGAAATTCAACATGATATTCCTATTCTTTCTTCTTAGAAAGCTGATTTTACCATTCTATTCATTCACCTTGTTTTGTATAATTCTGCCTATGACAATGTTCGTACCAGAGGCCGAGCTTCCGGCGTGGGTTGTGTGTTACATCCCTGCTGCCATGTCTTTTCTCAACATTCTTCCAGCTCCAAAGGCCTTCCCCTTTATTGTCCCTTATCTCCTATTTGAGAACACCATGTCAGTTACCAAATTCAATGCCATGATCTCAGGCCTGTTCCAGCTAGGTAGTGCTTACGAGTGGGTGGTGACTAAGAAATCCGGTCGTTCCTCGGAGGGCGATTTGGTTTCACTGGTTGAGAAACCAAAGCATCAAAGAGGGTCCTCAGCACCGGATCTAGAGGAAATGAAAGAGGAACTTAGAAGGCAGGAGCAGCAAAAGGCCTCTAAGAAGAAGAAAAAGCATAACAGAATATATATGAAGGAGCTTGCTTTGGCCTTTCTACTTCTAACAGCCTCCGCAAGGAGTCTCCTCTCAGCTCAAGGGATCCACTTCTACTTTTTGTTATTCCAGGGCATATCATTCCTCTTGGTTGGTCTAGACTTGATTGGTGAACAGGTGGACTGAGAAAAAATAAAAATTGACAGGACTGTGCACTTTTTACATGCAAGAATTATATGCACGGAAAAGCATAAAGGTGGGAAAGCCAGGCCTTATGAAATTACTCAAAGACATTTATTTGGTACACTGGAGAGCGTAGAGGACCCATAGTGCTGCTTTTTCTTGCTCATGCTCCTCCCTCCAGGCTCGTAAATCAAATCAACTCAAATCCTCCCAATACCATACTATTGTCTTGTTATGGACCGAAACGGGGTGCAATTGAGGCTGGTGTTAGGGCGTTTTCATTCAATGTGTAAGTTTAGCCTGCCTTTTTTTTTCTTCCTTCTTTGGTTAATTTGATTCATTTTTGTAATTTTATGTGGATTCTTTTCTTTTCTGGATCGATTCAGTTGTAAGAAAATTTATGGTTCAAACTTTGGACATCCTTTGGGACTCCTTTTCTTTTAGCGATAGTGAGAAACATTATTCTCCTTGTCGTGGTTCCAGCTATTTCCTCCACCGCTTGGTATGCGGTAATTCAAATTGAATACTTAAAATTCATTTTTTGTCAACTTTCAAAGTGGTAGAGAAGAAGTGGGTTTTGATTTCTGGGGCCCTTGGAATGTGATGCCCGTAGTAATTCAAGGTGGTCCTCTCCTCTCGCTTTTAATTTTGCTTATAGTTTGTTATTCTCACCGCTTCCAAACCTTTGAGCTGGAATTTTTACTAGATGTGCTTAACATCTTTGATTAAGATTTTGCGTTTGGTTACTTCTGTCCAAAAGAAAATTGAAATTGAAGATTCCAAGTTCTATTTGAGCTGCTCTGCCACAAAGGAACAATTTCCTTTTCGGCCCGAAACACTGCCCGAAAAATCTAATCCAAAATAAAACAGAAAGATGTACTTGCAAAAATTAAAACTTAGGTAGGTTGGCTTTGTAGCAAGGGCACGTGGATCCAGTGTTAACGTCCACCCAATTTTGGGGAGGAGTGGGGTAGACAGGCAGAAAAGAAAAGAAATTGAGGGAAAAATGACAGATATGATACGTGATGTGATAAGAAAAGAAAAAAAAAAGAAAGATAAAAATTGGGTATATGGGAGATGGAATATAAAGTATGTCAATGATTATAATTTTTCTTACTATTCAATATGATGGTTATTGGAGCTTGAAGAATTTGGCTCATCAAAGAATTGGGTAATGTCGTTTGTGGCAGCTGGACAACTGTTCAGTTGTGTCTTGTATGAACTGGTCAAAACCAAACCAGCTTTCATCCACTATCATTAATCACCCAAAGTTTTTAATTTTTAAGCCACCCATTGTTATTTCGTGGATGTTTTTTTTAAGTCCCTATTTACCCCATCATGCCCTTTCTATTAATATTTTTGAATAGTCTGTTAGGATTACAAATAAAGAAAAATGTCAGTGCGTGGCAATTTGGATTCACCCTCCAGCTGGATGTTTAATATGTTTGTTCTTGGTAAGGTTTAAATGGCATAGGCCAGTAGCTCCTTAAATTTGTTATCATTCATTCCATGTTTGTTGGAACAATTTCTCTGAAGCAAATTTATAAGGCTTTTACTGTTCCGCGTAACGTTGGAATGGAATTTGAAAGCATTTTATCCCCTCACGCCATTTGACATATCTCATTGAGGTCAGAAGAATTTGATGTAGGACAGGTAGCGGTGGCAAACGGTTTTGTGGGGCTTATCAAGTTGGGAGCTTGTGGCGCGTTTGGAGGCCCCACCCTATTCTTACTTAATTGACAGCATCTCGCCAGCTCAATATCCAAACTTTTCCGTGGACCCTGAGAAAAAATATCCAAACTTTTCCGTAATATATTACACACACAATAATACATCATATGTTTTTTACAAGTTCAATTCAGGAATTACTCGTACTTGCATTGAGATAATGAGCATGAACAAGGATTACTTGTGCTTTTTGCTGGATTACTTTTGCTTTTCCTTTTGTTTCTCAAAACAAGGACTGAAAACTGGACGCTTTTGTCATCCATCATTTAATGTCGTTCGTGCTTCATGCCCGGTTTTACAAGTTTAATTATATTCATCGTGCATACATTCATTTTAATCATCAGTTATCATATGATTGAAAATTATTGACTTCTGTACTAATTATTTTAAAAGTTAAAAGTCATATAAAATGAATTGTATGAAAATAAAAGTCTTTATTTCCGTAGCATCAATTGATTAAATCCAAATCATGGAGGACATTGTTAAAATGATTCGAGAGCTTTCATGGCTTCATGTGCTTGTTATTATCGTTTCCATTCTGCAAATCAACCCAAAAGCTACTACTTTTTCTTATAAATCGCTATATCTAGCAAAATGATCTTGCCTAGATCATTAATATCACAACAATAATAGATTTCGCTTTCTGGTTTCTACTAAAGAATTGGGGGTAGATGGGTTATTATATATGTTAGTGGTGTCTTCTAATTAAATGAATGGATGAGCCAGCAAATGGATAGAGCACCCACCCAATAAATGAGTTAATAGAAGCAGTTTGTTTCACAATTTACATGCAACCTTTGGTTTATGAAGAAGTGCCATTTATTTTATTTTATTTTTTTCTATCTACCAAGTTGTGCCATTTCACCATACACCTTGCGTGAACTCGTGAATCTTTTCATTTCAGACGTCACCTAGAGTACCACTTCAATGTATCGACCATACTGATAAAATTAAATGGGACAGTGTACTTTGTTTAGCTTTTTGTGAAGAAGAAAATTTTAAGAAAATACATAAAAAAGAAAAGAAAAATAAAAGGGAAAATACATTTACTCACCAAACTAAGATTTCACTTTAAAGTGTGTTTGATTGAGAGAAAAAAAATAGGTGAGAAATAGAAGGGAAAGAAATAGATGAATGAGAAATGAGTGAGTAAAAATAAATTTTAAAAAATGACTATTTAGTTAAAGAAAAATAAATGAAAAATAATATATATATATATATAT